CATCTGAGGAAGACATACCAGGAGGAAATGAAGGCTACCCATCTGTCTGTTTTGCCGGGGTTGGAAAGGCTTAGTAGTGAAATGCTCTTTTTTGCTGTATGCACTGTAGCTGTAGACATGTTGATCCCAGGATGTTAGAAAGACAAGGTGGGTGAGGTAATGTATTTCATTGGACCAACTTCTGTTGGTTAGAGACAAACTTTTGAGCTACACAGAGCTCTGTGTAGCTTAAAAGCTTGTCTCTCTGACCAAAAGAAGTTGGTCCAATAAAATACATTACCTCATTCACCTTTTCTCTTCTTTTCTGCTGGCATTAGGGACTGCATGAAAAGGTTGCAGATACTGAAAAAACCTCTGATCGTGGTAAGATAGCAACTTCTTTCTGAAATCATGTTTATTACAGTAGTGTCTAACCAAACCATGAGTGGGGCCCCACTCTGCTAGGCACTGTACAAACACAGGGTAGTAGATAGTCTTTTCCCCACAAAGTATACAAAGAAAGATACTGGTAAATGTTCAGTCACCTAGTAGTTGACTTAGTGTTGTTCATTTTTTTCCAAAATTTCATCAGTGTTTACTACTGAATGCATTGGGGCCTTCAAATTGAGAACTTTCAAATGCATTTCTTGGAACAACATGGAACACTCCTATATTCAATAAACAAACCTTAGAGTTCAACACCTTGTAAGAAGCATATTCCTATTTTCAAATGTGTTCATGGCCCAGATCTTGTCCTTTCCTGATGACTGATTTCATCTTAGCTCATGAGTCTCTGGCAAAAGGTGGAAAAGTGAGAGAGCACTTGCACTATAAAGAGAAACCACAGTCTGCTCTAAATGTCACCTCTTTCCTCCCTTCAAATTTCCCACACAACTGTCAAACCTACAAACTGCCAACTCTGAAAATTAAACTAACAACTTAAGATAGCAGTTAGCAAACATAAAATGGGATAATGGGGATCTTTTTCCTTTGTCTTTCCTGGTGGAAAAGAAGAACTGAAGATGGGTAAGAGGTTATTTGGTTATGGAATGTTCAGATGCATGCCGGACCCCTACAGGTTCCACTGGTTTGAATAGTTCCGTAACGACCACCTACAGTGGAGAAATGCAGAAAGAATTTCATGAGGAAGAATCGTGGGATAATTCACCTGATAATTATGTTTGAGAGAACTAATGTCACTGAAAACAGCATACAGGTAATACAACTGAACCTGATCATTATTTAAAGGGCAAAAGGGTTCATTAATTTTTGCTGTAGGGCATTTCATATTTGATTTGTTGTATTCAAGTGACATTCTAGCTTTCACATGAAAAGCTGGGATGATCTCCTCCTAGATAATTAACTTAAATCTTCATGTCTCTTAATAAGACATGAAAAATACAAAGTGTATTTCTAGAAAAGTCTCTTCAACTGAAAAATGTACGAATATGCCACAGAGCCAGGAAAACCTATAAACGGAAGTGTGCATTATCTGTATATTCTAAGCATTGATATTGATGCTTCCAAACTTCAAGACACAGACAAAGAGCTGGTTGGAAATTTTCCAGTGATACATTTTTCCATTGGAAAAAGCTCATTGTTCTAAATCAAAATGTATCATGGTAATGTGTCAATTCTGTTCAAATTTCAGCAGAAACCAGCCTAATTTTCTGTTAGCTTGCCCACTCACCTGGCAGTCTGCCATGGAGCTGAGCCTCTCAGAGTGTTTGGATTCAGGCTCCACTGAAATGTTTCCAGAGCAGGAACATTTTGGTGTTTCAGAAATAAAATATTTCAGACATCTAGTTCGATGAAAAATTACAAGTTTTGGATTTTCAAAAATCTTGACTTTTCTCAGAACAGGAAATCTGTTTCCCAACCAGGTCTAATAGTAAGCAAGGTGAAACTATCAAGATCAAGATTAAAAAGTAGAGCGGAGGTAACTTTTAAAATGTATAACTGTCCAAACAAATATACTCCTACAACCATGGAGCTGGTTATGTTTTGTAATATGAGAGAATGGGTAAAAATATACTAAATAATTGTATAAGAATACATTTCTTGTGTGTACTGATTGTGGCTAGGTAAAATGCTAAAATCTTAAAGTATACTTAGAAATATTATGGAAATTGTAGAAATCAACTGAGAAGTTTCCAAAGAAACTTACTCATACCCTTAGACCAGTGGTTCCCAAACTTGTTCCGCCGCTTGTGCAGGGAAAGCCCTGGTAGGCCGGGCTGTTTACCTGCCACGTCCGCAGGTTCGGCCGATTGTGGCTCCCAGTGGCCGTGGTTCACTGCTCCAGGCCATTGGGAGCTGCAGGAAGCAGCACGGGCCGAGGGACGTACTGGCCGCCGCTTCCCACAGCTCCCATTGGCCTGGAGCAGCGAACCGCGGCCACTGGGAGCCGTGATCAGCCGAACCTGTGGACATGGCCGGTAAACAAACCGGCCTGGCCCGCCAGGGGCTTTCCCTGCACAAGCGGCAGAACAAGTTTGGGAACCACTCCCTTAGACAATATGATTTTTAGAAGTGCCAGGTGACAATTTAGAAATACATAACCCTGTACTATATCACTGTGAATATTAAATAAGTTATTCCTTCTTACAAAAAAGTTCAATGGCATACAATTAACATAAGAAGATGCAAGCTTATTGGTGTAAGAAACTGCCATTTGTACTCTACCTCTCATTCATAACAGCAAAGTTCTAATTCTGGCAAGTGCTCAAACGTTTCAGAAACCTACTGTCTGACCTTCAAAACATGTATCACACAAGCAGTATCGTTCTCCTATATGTACCCAATGACTAGGACCCTACCAAATTCATGGTCCATTTTGGTCGATTTCACGGTCATAGGATTTTAAAAATAGTGAATTTCATCATTTCAGCTATTTTAATCTGAAATTTCATGATGTTGTAATTGTAGGGGTCCTGAGCCAAAAAGGAGTTGTGTGTGTGTGTGTGTGGTTTTTGCAAGGGGGGGGTTGCGGTGCTGCTACTCCTATATCTACACTGCTGCAGGTGGTGGCGCTGCCTTCAGGGCTGGGCACCTGGCCAAAAGCCACCACTCTCCGGTCGCCCAGCTCTGAAGACAGCGCAGAAGTGAGGGTGCAATACTACGATCCCCCCGCTAAAATAACCTTGTGACCCCTCTGCAACTCCCTTTTGGGTCAGGACCCCCAATTTGAGACAGTCTGGTTTCCCCCTTGAAATCTGTATAGTATAGGGTAAAAAGCACGCAAAAGACCAGATTGCATGGTGGGGAGACCAGAGTTCACAGTCCATGATGCGTTTTTCATGGCCATGAATTTGGTAGGGCCCTACCAATGACCTATGTAATAAAGATGAGGTAGAATAAAACAAGCTTCCTCCACCCTTTGTGCAGACATTAACTCAAGGATGAAAAACAGTTCCTCTCAAATGTAATGGAAATAGTTTTTTGATATAACTTTCTGGATATTTACATTTTTGGACTAACTAAAACTCCTTTGTTTTTATATCTGCTCATATTTTTGTAATATTAAAATTTATTCTCTCCCTGGGAAACACTTTTGTTACTGTTAACTAAGGACATAATTTCACATCTGCAATATGCAATATATGGGTTATTATTCTGTGTCCTAAAGAGAGAGTAACAAAGCAATCATGAACTTGAACATGATTCTATTACTAATTAGGAAAAACTGATAAAGAAATTGAGACCCACATGAAGCAGAAATAAGGGGAATTGGCTTTGCCTCAACTGGGTGTGTGGAAAATGCAGGAAGAGCTGCAAAGGGTAGGTGAACAAAAGGCATCAGCAGCCTGATGCAGCTCAACACTTTGGCAAAGCAAGTAGTAATTGTTTGATGACCAATACCTAAATATATAATCATAGTGGAGCTTCATCTTAAAATATAATCTGAGCCATATTTTCAATGGACAGTCATCTCAAATAAAGGATGCCATTATGCTTTATGTGAAATATTTGTGTCATATACAAAATCTATAATATACACAATCAGAAGTTCCGGATTTACATAACAATTTATGACCACGTTGACATTAGAGAAATCTGCATGGTGCACTCCTCTACTCCAGATGTGCTGCGCTGATGTAAAGTGGGGCTTACTTTGGGTCTAATTTAATATGGTAAATCATTGGACTAAACACCGCTTTATATCGGTGCAGAACATCTACATCAGGAGGTTGCATATTTCTCTAATGTAAACAGGGCCTATACTATCAAGATATTTGATGTGTTCTTAATGAAGCTGATTTTTAGTTCTTGTTTATTTATACACGCAAGAAGTTTAAGGCCAGAAGGGACCATAACATAATCTAGTCTCATCACCTGTATACATTTCATCCAGTTACTCCATATTGAACCCAATAACTTGTATCTGACTAAACTGTATCTTCCAGAAAAGAATCCAGTCCTGATTTGAAGGCAGCAAGTAATGAAGAATCCACCACTTCTCTGGGTAGTTTGTTCCAGTGGTTAGTCACCGTCACTATTAAAAATCTGTGATATTTCCAATTTGAATTTGTCTGGCTTCAGCTTCCAGCCATTGTTTCTTGTCAGACCTTTCTTCACAAGATTAAAGAGCCCTTTAGTACCCAGTATTTTCTCATTCTGTCAATCTTCATGCTATCTGCAAATTTTATCAGTAGCAATTTTATATTTACTTCCAGTTCATGGATAAAAATGTGGAATAGCATGAGGCCTACTACTTGATCCCTCCAGAACCACACTAGAAACACCTCCCCCTCATCATTTGAGGATTCCCCATTGATGATTGGTTTTTGAGATTTGTCAGCCAGATATTTTTACTGAAATTTTCTGTGAAACACAGGGCATGAGCAGAGCCTAGCTTAACAGCCCCACGTAATCAGGGCTAATAAGAAACTTAAAAATTCTTGCCATCTGATGCTGTTTTCTGATGTTTCTTAAGTATGTAAGCTTCTAGAAGCCAGAACAGTTACAAGAATGTGGCATGAAACACAGTATCCAAGAAAAACTATATGAAAAAGCTGAAATTCATATTAATGAGCACTCTGAATAAGATGTCCTTTATTAGCCAAAATTATAAACACACACAGAGTATGTTTGTATTTAATATTTTGAATTAGAACATATTGATGGTAAAATCATCACATCAAGTACTGCACACATTTTTTCATTAGATGTTGAATGGTAATGTTACAATGTATAAACATAGGTATAAAACAAGCCAGTTGTTTATTTGTGTGGTACTAAGAACATGATTATGAATACAATTTCTTTCTTCACAGAATAAACTGCCAAACTGATTATTTATATTGAAAATCCCTGGAAAAATGTCATGGTGCTTTTTTCTGCTTCAGTTTCCTGTACCAATCAGGTGCCTCTCTATTTGTCTGTGAAACAAAGAATGTTTTGGTTATGAGACAATTGAAAGGCAGGAGAAATATGCAATCCACACAACACTGCACTCCTCTCTCTGTCATTCATAGCTCTGCTTAAACTAAAATCAATTAAAATGTGAAAGGTTTACATTACACAAAAATACACTAAAGTTCTGTGTGTCTAAGACAATAAAATAAACCAAATATCACATTATTAACCAAATGATGATTCAAAATGTTTACCAACATTAAAATGATTCATGAAATGCTTAATTAAAGGACTATCATTGTAAATTATGTTATGTGTATTTCTGTTAAAAAAGGGGGTGGGAACCTAGGACAAAGAGGTGTGCTACAATATGCCAACGTTTTAAGCATAATACAAAAAACTACATGTAAGAACACTGGTTCTCCAATTTAGTCATAGCACAGACCATAACTTAATTGTGGGACACTGCCTCTACATTCACAGTCTTGAGGGCTACTTATCACACATTCATAACTGCATAAAATTCCTATAGCAATTACAGCAACCTTTTACATGGAAAAGCAATAGTAAGTAAGTGGGGGAAAGAAGGGGATGAGTCATCTTCAGACTCAATGGAATTGGCAGGGAATTCACCCCTAAAAACAAAGTTCTAGGAGAGCCACCAGTAGTACAGACCTTTCACAGTATGGAAATGTCCCGCTCACTGCCTCTCAATTCCCCAGGCTCCATGGCAATACATTTTGAACAAGTGATAAGTGTAATAATTACTGTTAAAATCCTCTACTGAAATGGCCTCAAAAAGATATAAACGCATGTGTTCTGTTTCTTAAGTAGTGCATTTGTTATTTCAGACTTTCAAAAGAATTTTGTGTCATTAGTGAACATTCCATCCAAAGAAATGGTGAATAAGTTTGAAAAGGCATTATTTTCATTCTACCCATGACATTATTTGACTATTAAGTCTGGCTCACAAATTTAATCAAACACAAATTGTTCAACAGCAAACACACACCAAACTTGAGAGGGGAAAAAAAGCCCAATTATCACAGCTGGCACTTGATTTAGGAAATCTCTCCAAAAATATATTTCCTAAATTTTTCCCATACTTGTCAGAAAAATCAGAGGGTACTTAGTAGTTCGAGCAGTGGACTGTGAAGTAAGACTCCTGAGTTATATTCCCAGCTTCCTCAAGGAAATGGAGCAACATTTGTACAAAACACTTAACTTCTGTGCCTAAGGATTGTTGTTAGGCTTTGTGTATGTGAAGTGCTTTCAGTACCTTGGGTGAAAGGCACTACATAAATACAAGTATTTATTATTTACTATGACATCTACCTGTGGTGGGATGTTGTATCATTCTTCCATTTGTTCTATTAGTAACTGCAAATGAAACTTGAAGCTACAATTCATTTTCCTTTGCTTTCCTTCTCTGGAGCTACTTCATTTTTGACTCTTACTATCAAAATGAGATTGTAAATCTTTGTAAAAGCCACCAAAAGATGTAAGTTAAAGTATACTGCTGTCACTTTTGTGCTTGGGAGTCTAGCATCACATGTATGGATATCAGGCCTATCTGAAAGAATTAACCAGAACTGGCCATCTTCAACAGGGATGCCTGAATCCCTCCTGGAGATACAACCAAGAGCCTGCCTAAGTCTGTCTCTGAAGCAGATGCTTGCGTTGAGCAACTCTGAGTACTGTAAAAAGAAAAGGAGTACTTGGGCACCTTAGAGACTATGCTCAAATAAATTGGTTAGTCTCTAAGGTGCCACAAGTACTCCTTTTCTTTTTCCGAATAGAAACTAACAAGGCTGCTACTCTGAAACCTGAGTACTGTGACTCACTGTCTGCTGCCCTACTTAAGACAGACCCAGCACCCTTCTAGGCCCACATCACTGGCCACCTTAAAATGATCTATAATCCATTTACAAACTAAATTCTTTTGAAGTGTGCTCACAATGCAACACCCTTGGAGGGGAGTGGTACTGCGCTCTCTCTTACTGGACGAGGTATCAATTTCACCTTAAGTGGCAAGTACAAAGTGCACTAACATACTGGAAACATCTGCACAAAAAACAAAATACACCACCGTAGCAAGTCACCTCAAAGGTCTCAAAATAGCAGCGTAGGCGTTGCCGCTCATGCTGGCGCCTGGGCTCTGAGACTTATCCCCCTCACCAGGTCTTGTAGCCCAGGCTCCAGCCTGAGTGGGAGCATCTACCCTGCTATTGCAAGACCCATAGCATGAGCCTGAGTCAGGTGACCCAGGCTCTGAGACTTGTTGATGTGGGGTTCTTTTCTGCAGCATTGACACCAGTGGTGGATTAGCCACTCGGCCAATGAGGCCCTGGCCAGGGCCCCGGCCAACTGGGGTGCCCCCACACTCCGACTGGCAGGAGTGCCAGGCGGAGTGGGGCAAGCCCCGGTGCCCCACCCTGCTCTCTGGCAGGAGCACCGGGGGGGTAGGGATGTACTGGAGGCAGAAGGGGTAGGGAGTGGCCCCCACTTGTTCTGGCCCAGGGCCCCACAAAACCTAATCTGCCTCTGATTGACACATCCCTGCTGAAGCTATTGACTCCAATCAGCCATGAACCAAAGCCTCCAGAAACTCCTCTGCAAGCAAACATATAAGAAAATTGGAAACTCATGCTTATAACACGGTCAGCCACCCTTCTCCTCCTCAGTTTGGAAGTCTGGGCCTTGTTCTCCTCTGCATTCATGTCAAGTGTCTTCCTCATCCACATTGCCTGTGAAGCAGCACGGAAGGGACTAAGAGCACAGGAGAGAGAAGACTCTCTCCTTTACAGTCTAGAACCAAGAGCAGCTGGAAGCTGAAAATTCAGGGATAACCAGCTTTGACTCGTAAGCCCCAAGCTCAGTTTAGGGGAGCATGCTCAGCACACACGGAATCTTCAGAGATTTTAGCTACAAAACTAAGAAATCTCTATTGAACTTGTGCAAACAAATTTTTTGGCCAAGTCTTGTATCTTGGCCACATTTGGGTGCATTTTCACAGGGACAGCAAAAGGTACAACCCTGATACAAAGCCCACGTCTTCCCCTTGCCAAATTTTAAGTCCCTGCTCTAAAGTTTGGGGGCGCTATAGCTTCTCAAAGAAAAGGTTGCCAGAAATTTTTAAAATGACAAAATATTTTCCCTAGCCTCACTCTCAGAAACTTCTGAACCGTTTAGCATGAAACTTTCCAAAAAATTTAGCCTGAAGCAGACCCCCAGCACAGAATATTTCAGCCCCTAAAGGTATAAATTTTAAGTTATAAAGCAACCAAAAATAAAGTCGTATAACAGGAAGTGTCGGGCCACCTCAGTATTAAGCAGTGCGACCAGCCTGTGTATGTGTAACTATTATGTAAATATAAATTCCAATATATATATTTTCTTACATCCATTGGGATGTTAATATATTGGATATGTTAGAATTCTGTTTTGTTATCCATTTTTAATACAATTTTACACTAATTGAAATTTTTTGGGAGATTTGTTTCCTGTGTACTTTAAGATCTAGAAGATTCTAGAGGGCTGGAATCTGTGATAGTGTGTGACCAGTAGAGGGATATAGCTTCCTGTAGCCTACCACTACTACAGAGAGAAACTTTCAGCAGGCATGCTGTACTGTTTTGAACTAACACCACAAGATGAATGCAAATCCTGTGAAATCATCTCTTCAAAGAAGCAGACTTCTAGGAGTAATTTTTTTTTATACACCCCCCGCCACTCGGACAGTTTTTTTGGTTTTTTGAAATGTGAGCAATAGTCCTCTAAACAAAATGCCTAGGTCACTTATTTCAATTACAGTACTTACAAATAATGTTGGTTTGGGTATAAATACATTTTCTTCCTCGTGTTCTGCTGGCAGCTTTACAGAAGGGTTTGATTTGTGTTTTGCAGTTAAGCTTCTTACGTCACTATGAGACTGAGGTAAATTTTCCCCATAGCGTTTACCATGCAGACTGATAAGAATCTGTTTCATTACTGCCAGTTCCTGTAAAAACATAAAATAAAATTAAAATAAATAACAATGCTAATTTTCAATAAAACTAAAAATAGTAAAACCTATTAAAATGATTATCTGTTAATAATGCATTTCTATTCACCAAATCAAAATATCTAAATAGATATATAGGCAGATCAATAACCCTATAATAAGCCTGATTATTTACTTGCATTTATTAGTCTGAGTACTAGTTAGAAACTACTTTACTAAAGGGAGTAATAAAATAAAAAGGCACAGAAGAGTTATACAAATAAAACCTCATAATATCTAAATGCTGTAACAGAAAAAGGATTTAAAGTGTATTAAGGATCGCGCTATCCATTTAAGTGGCCATTTATTTTAAACAATTATTTTAAAGATAGCTTACAGAATCCAATTTGAGTGGCTATGATAAATAGTACTCTTAGGGTTTGGGTATGTGTCTTATAAATGCAGATATAAAAAAACAAATATATGTCTTTACCCCTAGAAAAATCAATCAACTGATAAGAGAGGCCTAGGAGAGACTACAGCAAAAAGGAGGAAAAGGATCATGATCTGAACTATGGAATGAAAAAGCAACTACTGAAAAGGAAAGAAAGGGATCTGGTGGCCAGAAGGGTTCTCACTGACTTGGAAATTTAATAATTTGCTAAACAAAAAATTCAATAGATTTTAACCTCCCCCCCCATAGATTGGTTCAAGATCATTAGTAAAGTGACAAAAGCAAAACCATAACTCCTCTCTGACTTTAATCTGCCATGATCTTCTAATGTCACTGCATCTCCCTGCTGCTGTCATTATTTTCTTCATTTTTAATGGATGCAATTATTACAAAATATGTTACATAATTTCCCCCCACCCCTCACACTGGTGCTTCCAGCTCTACCTTGTAACGATTTGTGAATTACTGACAAAACAACCAAGTGAATGCAATCTTCATTCAAAGAGCAGTTCAAAACCATAAGGCTCTTCAGAATTTAATATGCAGCTCCTTGTACAGGCACTGACTCCGGGGATGGAGCTACAGGTGCCAACTTTCCAGTGTGCCGGGGGGTGCTGACTGCTCAACCCCTGGATCTGCCCCCCCTCCACCCCTTCCTGCCCCCTCCTCTGAGCCAGCCGTGCCCTTGCTCCTCCCCCTTCTCTCCCCAGAGCCTCCTGCATGCCACAAAACCGCTGATCGGCGGGGCTGCCGGTGGGTGGGAGACGTTGGGAGTGGGGTGGGGGAGCTGATGTGGGGTGGAGGGGCTGCTGATGTATTATTGTGGCTCTTTGGCAATGTACATTGGTAAATTCTGGCTCCTTCTCAGGCTCAGGTTGGCCACCCCTGCCATAAGGTTTTGACTGTCTTCAATAATAATTCAGCACAAATTCATGTAATCTTATCTCTTCAACCAAAACAACAGTATAAATTAATGTTTATAGTTTAATGCCAAACACAACAAATGGAGAATATAGTTATTGTATATTACATATTACCTATTTCTTAATATTAACCAGAAAATTACAGTGATTCATATTCTATTTTCATAACAGTATTCAAAATTAGCATAATGTAAAAACAGCCACTTAAAAGTCTTGTCATCTAACTTCTGATACATAGTTGCTTTTAATAGTTCCACAACAGTACATACGATATAAATATTCTTGAAAAAATTAAAAATAGGCATGCTTTGTTGTAGAGAATTTAGTTAATATACTGACACCACAATAATTCAGTTATATGACTGGAACCCCAACACTAAATACACCCAACAACTTCATCCAGTGTATAAATTGTTCTTGGGTCTCAGTCATTTAATATTTGCATAATTCAGCCGTGTGTGGTGGCATGTTAAAACAGCTCAACTGCAGAGCAGCTGTTTAAAAGGACTGCATAGTTGATGCCAACATATTACTGAAAGTTGTAAACTCTGCAAAGATGCTGCCAAAGTGATACATAGACAGAATTTCTTGATGAAAATAACTCAGACAAGTATATTACAAATACATGCTCCATGACTGGTGATTAAGTCACATATAAGCAATGTTTTGACATTAGTAAGTGGTGCTATATCTTTTGGGAGCTAAATCTTGCATCAGACTATATGGACCCAAAAAAGTTGTAATTATGAGTTTGAAACTGCGCTCAAAAAACAAGGCAAAGACCAAGAATTCTTATACTGATTTGATAAAGAGGTTAGTTTCAGATACATAAACCAGGCCCAATTCTGCAGTTACAGAACCAAATTCTCTAGTCTTGCCTCCTTTACACCACCTGAGTGACACAAAGGAACCAGAAGAGACTGGAGATGAGAATTTTCCCCACAATGTATATATTAACCTAAAACAGTGTCTATGTTTGTTATGGGGCATTGATAAGGTTGCATTTGCATTTAAAGCAGGACTAAAATCCCTCTGTTTTAAACTTTAATGATTAATTTTAGTCTGAAAATTCCTAATTCAGCACAATGTGCAAAGCTCCTCTCTGTTACACCATAGTTATTCCACAGTAACCCTGTTAACTTCAGTGGAATTACTAGTTTATTTATGGCCCAAATACATTTCAGATTTACTAACTTTTGATGAGGATACATTTGAAAATGTCCTGTTTCTGAAATGTGGCAGTTCCCCTCTCTCTTTTTTTGGATTTCTCTAGCTAACAGTTCCAGCAAATGCCACAGTCCACAAACACATTAAATTCACAGGTGGCGTGTGATATCAGAAAGTGTTGTTTCCCACATTAGGAATGACTGATACAAGTTATGTAAAGATTAGACAATTGAATTGCTCAGATTTATCACCTATTTCTATTATTTGATGCTGGTAGCCTGCTTCCAAGACCCCTGCTCAGCACATAGATCCTAGGAAGCCAGGAAAGGCAGCAGGGGGTGAGAGACAGGGATCTTCAGGTCAATAATGGTGGAACAGAGCAGGAATGTGTGGGACATGAAAAGCAGGGCCTTGGGGAGAAAGAAGGGGGCATTAGCAGGAACATGAATTAGACTGGGAGGGAAAAGGCGTTGCTGGGTGAAGGAAGGGTTGTGGGTAATGTAGGTCGGGGAGTAAATTGTTCCTGGGGTGGGGAGTCCAATGCCTCTGTGAGAAGGCATCAGTGCTCAAATTGCTCCCTCACTGTTGCTGCCTCAGCTCCCCACTACACTGAGGAAGCAGTGCAGTGTAAAACCCCAAAAGCGCTGATTCCTATGTGGAGATGCTTGGCTCCTCCAGCATTGCAGCACTGGCTCTTGGACACAGTGAGAAGACAATGCTGGGTAAGTTGAGCAGCTCTCTCTTGAGGCACTGATGCCTGAAGGGCTCCACCCAACATTTCTGCACCTGTACACTGTGGGGCCTAGATGGCAATTCCATGGGGAGAACTTCAAGTGCTTATGCCTCAAAGCAGATTCAACAGTGTGCCCTTGTTGCCAAGAAGGCTAATGGCATATTGGACTGCATTAGTAGGAGCACTGCCAGCAGATCGAGGGAAGTGATTATTCCCCTCTATTCAGTACTGGTGAGGCCACATCTGGAGTACTGCATCCAGTTTTGGGCCCCTCACTACAGAAAGGATGTGGACAAACCAGAGAGAGTCCAGCAGAGGGCAACAGAAATGATTAGGGGGCTGGGGCACATGACTTATGAGGAGAGGATGAGGGAACTAGGCTTATTTAGTCTGCCGAAGTGAAGAGTGAGGGGGGATTTGATAGCAACCTTCAACTACTTGAAGGGGGGTCCAAAGAGGATGGAGCTAGACTGTTCTCAGTGGTGGCAGATGACAGAATAAGGAGCAATGGTCTCAAGTCGCAGTGCGGGAGGTTTAGGTTGGGTATTAGGAAATAATATTTCACTAGAAGGGTGGTGAAGCACTGGAATGCGTTATCTAGGGAGGTGGTGGAGTCTCCGTCCTTGGAGGCTTTTAAGGCCTGGCTGGACAAAGCCCTGGCTGGGATGATTTAGTTGAGGTTGGTCCTGCTTTGAGCAGGGGGGTTGGACTAGATGATCTCCTAAGGTCTCTTTCAACCCTAATCTGATTCAGTGAGCTCCTTCCCACCTCGCGTTGCCTGCACAGCTCCAATCCCACCACCCAAGAACCCCGCATACAACCCTCTCCTCACCCAATCCTCTCACATCCACAACCATCCCCCTTACCAACCCCAGCTCCACTCTGCCTCTGGCTCCCCACACATCCCTCCCTGTTAATCCCTCCATTGTCTCCCCCACTGCACCAGGCAGCAGCACTGAGGGAGGAGGAGGAGGTATATGGTGGGAGGGCACATAGGGAAGCAGAACTGTATTAGGATTGTAGGCGGTAGAGACAAGCGGGGTCTGTCCTAGGGAAGTACTGAATGGGAGAAGAAGTGAATGGAATTTTAAGAGCTGAATGTGGTAGGGAAACAAAGGGAGTTAAATGTTGCAAGAAGCATATAAGGAATGAATGAATATCTGCTTATTTCCTTGCATTTCATGCTTTACATTGGTGGACTATGCATATGCAGTCTAGCAGCCTTAGTTCAAAAATAACCAAGGTATTTTTGTGTGGAATCAAAGACACAGATTTTTTTAAAAAAATAATTAAGTGTCTAGCTAGATTAGGAAAAAGTATACTTTTCTTTTATATCATTAGGCTACTGGCATTATGCATGCCTACAATTCAAATAATTCCTAGTTTCTGAACATTTTATTCTAGAATTTAATTAGGGCCTGATGCTGCAGCTGCTGTGTGTAGGTGAGTAACTCCCATTAACTTCAACAGGTATTCTGTGTATGTAGTGACTAAAATATCAGGTTCTAAAACAATCATGAGTTGGCAAAAGTGAAAAAGGGTCCATGATTTTTAAAAGGTAAAATAAAATGGTATTTGCATACTCAAATTTCAGTAGCATTTGAAATTATAGTAATGGTAAATTGTGTTCTTGACAAGTGAAAATAAGATGCAACATATTTAATTCTTAAACACAAAATGTTTATTATGGATAACTGACACAGTACATTAAAGTATGGAGAATGGATATGTATAGTCCAGA